TCAGAGACTTTTTCGCAGTCCATTCTTGAAAGACAATATATAATTCCACATTCATCAAAATGGTTTTCCTTAATAAATTTGTCGATGTCTTCCAGACACTTTTTTGTCTTGGGAACAACGGAATACCTGCAAACTTCTTGGTAAGCAGCATTCTGGTATACATATATGGTTTTAGGTAGTTGTACCTTACCATAGATTTGGACGATTAAAACTTTGCCGGAATACGACACAGTTAACAAGGCCAAGGGCTTGTACAACATCTTCTTTCACACTGGCTGTTGCTGTAGCTGTTAAAGCTAACACGGGAATGTTGGGAAATTTCTGCTTCAGTATACCAAGACTCTGTGCATTCCACAAAAAATTTGGTAAGTATAAAGGACGATAATGTTTCTCAAAAAAGTAAGAGAGTTATGTTGTTTGAAGCTTTTGATTGCCTAACCTGGTAGTCTGGTCGAAAGTCATGCCCCCATTGGCTCACACAATGAGCTTCATCAATAACAAACCGAGCAAGCAAACCACGAGAATTTAAGTTTTCCAGATGCCTCAAAAGAGAATCGCTTCTGTAGTCAAGAAAGAGATACTTCTTAGCTATGTGTTACAAGTAATATCTTTCAGTGTGGTGAGCCTTGCATTAATCGTCCACAGCTATGCTAATAACCAATCTAGAATTACAAGAAACCTCCGGTAGTACTGTATAATCCATAAGCCATAAAATATCCTACCCGAGGCTAATAACAAGAGGAATCGGAAAGAATAAAAAAACAGAAAGAGAGTTTTTATATAAAAATAACAACTCACTTTGCCACTTTTTCAGGTGTGACATATAGCAACTTGTACTTGGAATGCTCGGAATTCAGTTCCTGAAAGATCTTTAGTTGTTCAGCCCATTCCATACCGGCACTTAGGGAAGCAGCCGGTATATTGGCCTGTAACCATAATTCAGAAATCAAAGTGTGAGATGGAAAGAATCCACTGAGAATAACTTATAAATGAAATAGAAGATATAAATAGAATCTCTGGGGGTAGCTGAAGTGTTCACCTGCAATAGGTTCATTATCTGGTCTTGAATAAGCGACACAAGTGGAGAAATGACTAATGTTATGCCTCCACAGATTAGAGCGGGGAGCTGCCAAAGAAAAATGTTAGAAAACAATTTTGAGAAAATAACTTGAAACTTCATCTCTTTTGCGTAGGATAAAGAATCAAAGTGAAACCAAATGTACTGGTTTAATTTTAGTGACCTGATATGTCAAACTCTTCCCTCCTCCAGTTGGCATCAAAACAAAAACATCAGAGCCACTCATTGTTGCATTGATAATTTCTCTCTGGTTAGGTCGAAACGAATGGTTTCCAAACACTTTTTTGTTATTAACCTGAAAGTTACAAGGAAACATATGAGCACATTGAACGTAAGTGAACAAAGATAAGAGAAACTCAGCTAATCACCTCCAGTTTTCTTGTCCAGGGAAATTCACGACTGCTCCACTTTTTGTCGTTTGAACCTTCAGTGTAGGTCACGTCAATAATCTTTGGAACATATTGTTCCCTCTCTACAGGAGCAGTTGAAAGACCATATCTATCAACAGAAAAGGAAGAATCTCTTGGCGTGTTCCAGCTATCACAGGCATATTTGCCTTGGTCACTTAGATGTGCTCGAAAATCAGTTTGTGGTTGATCCATTTTATAATTTGTTGATTTAGGTGTTTCATACTGGAAAGTACGAGTAGCTGTAGATGACGAAAACTGAGATTTTTGCCTTTCTTTATCTCGGATATGGTTCTCGAGCTGCTGAATTTGTTTCTTCAGCTGTAATCTAGCAAATATACAAGTTGTGGTACATTAAAAACTGACCAAAAGTCAAGACATACTCACAGTTTTGATACCCTTAAATACTCAAACTCAAGAAACATATGCATTGTTTATTATATCTTTAAGCCTAATCTCTTCTCACTGTATTATTCCCGATAAATTTTTCTAAGTAGTAATATACCAGTAGCCTCCGAAAGGAAGCTAAATTATTACTCTTGTAGAATAAGCCAAAAAAAATTGATTGGGATAGAGACCTCTCTTGACGAAGCTGTTCAACACGATCAGGACTCAGGTCAGCAGCATCGTCAAGGAGTTCATTTGATATTGCAAGCAACACGTCTTTCATCTGTTCCACATGGGTTGAAGCTTCTGGACAAAGCCCTAACTGAGTAGATACCAAAAAAAAGAGAAAACCAATGGGTTTCAAAAACCATTGAAGCATAATAAAAAAAAGCAGTACTCATACCTTTATTCCATGACTACAGTTGGAACATAATTCAGGAGGCAGACAGCACTCTTCTTCTAATCTGGAAGCACTTCTATCCACAGGTGGGGCAGGTGGAGTTCTCAATGAAAAATTAGATACTGATGGCTGAGGAGTACTTGTCGAATGGTAGTGTTCCATCACAATTTGGTCGACATCAATATTCTGCATCACAAAGTGTTAACATGCTTAAATTAACAATTTTCACCACCAAAAGCTATCTGCATAAGAATCGACAAAAGTCTATACAATAGTGTAAGATATAAGTGGTTTAAATTTTAATCTTCTCTGTCATGGAAATGTGCTATAAATTAAAGATACTACATATACAAGATTGAGAACACAAGGAAAAAAGATGTGCTATTTTTACCAACATTACCTTAAGTATGTCATCATCATCCATATCATCAAGACATGCTTTTCCAGATTCGAACTGCTCAGGTGGGAATGCAGAATTCCTGAATGACTTCTCCACACCATTTAAATGAGTGAAACTGGGTTCTGATTCTCTGACCTCGTCGTTTCCCAGTGGAAACTTTTCAGCAATCATTTTATCAGCACCAGGTACAGAGGAAGGGAAACTGTGAAAGGATCTTCCAGTTCCTGAAACATTCATTGCATTTTGGTTTTGTCGGCTGCTCGAATAAACAGAACCACCAGTGCTAGATATAACTTTCACGGTAGATCCCTCTCTTGCAGAATATGAGCCATTGGTGCCACCATCATCAATGGGGGGAGTAACGCCAGGTCTTAGGTAGGCATTATTTATTGAGAGACTTGAAAGAGCACGCCAAGCCTGCCAACATAGGAGACCAATAACTAACATATATGTACGGTTCATATAAAGAGGTCTATATACAAGGGGAAGGTCATCCAGAAACTAGGGGAATATAGGAACTACATTGAGATAAATTGTTTATTCAGTGAAATGGAAAGAGTAAAAGAAAAACATGTAATGAAAATCCTACTTATGACGAGGGGAATGCATCAGTTCAAAACTATAATTACTACCATAATATCCCTTCAAAAAATATTACCTTTGAAATTTGCGGGTGCGCCAAAGTATGCACATTCACACTGGGAAACGCAATTGACCTAGGCAGAAGGAGAACAAAGCTTTTCAAATAACTGTGAATCACTTAGTTGTAAACATATTTAAGAAGAAAACAAAAAAAAACATCACAAGATTTCCATCACTAGCATACTCCTAATACATCAAAGAGAGATATTATGCACATATCATTTAATATTATTTGGAGCAGTTTGGTGGTACGAAAGTCGACCCATGCAAAAGCTGAACCCTCAATTTTGTACAAAGCTATTGATAAGGAAACAAACACGCATTGGCACACAGAACCAAATGATGCTGCAAAAGCGATATAACACAATGTGGTGGAAAGTTATCCTTCAATCACTGACTTTGTTTGATAGTTAATTTTCAAAAGTTCTACTTCTACGAATCCAAACAGCAGTTGGGACTGGACCAAATTAAACGACAATCAAGGAACAATGACAGACGACAGAAGGAGATGATTGTTCTCGAAAGAACGAACATATAACCATAATACCTTGCAGACATATCTCTAGGCTTTTGACTTTCTAGAGCGTAAAGGACATTGGAGCTCAGAAACTTAGTCACGGACGATGAACTCTCGAGTGCCTTTGCATGTTCCGACCAATTCGTTTGAGGACCTCTAGGTTTCTGAACTTCAGGGAGATGACTCCAACTATAGATTAACAGTGAGTAGCAGAGATCAAAAAGAAGAAACAGCTAAAAAAAATCGGAATAAACCAGAGAGTACAAGGAAAAGATCAATCTTGCCTCATTTGACTCGAATTAATCAGAGGTATAACATGCTGAAGAAGTTCCAGTAATTTTCACTCCCCTTGACACCGCTGATTTAGATACTAAATAAACACACATGAAAAGAAGTTGCATTCAGATTAGTGGGTGCTGATGATAATGAAACAAGAACTGAATATAACTGCTCATTATCACTGACTATACATACACAATTATCAAATCTAATACGATTTACAGAAATTTCCCAATTTAGGTCGAGACTGCCATGTCAAAAACAAAAACAAACTCCAGTGAGAGACAACAACGAATCCGCTTGTATTTACCTATCAATTTCCAGAATTTGAAAAACAGTGAAATACTCCAAAAAAACAAAACAGGAAATTCAAGTGAATCGATCAGTCATGAGTCTAAAGGATTAATCTTTACCCATGGACAACGAATCCCTAATCTAAAACTAAACGTTAACATTCGTAGGACAAAGAAACGCAATTGGTGCGAGAAAGAAGAAAACGAAAACCCTAGAAATGATTGAGAAACGAAAGCTAAGAAATACATTTTCGATTCAGTGGAGTCCTTGCTTCTGTAACGTCGCTTTTGACACTCCGGCGGCGAAATAATCCGGGAAATCGAAGAGACGAAATAGAGGATAAAATGGTCACCACCGACTTGAGCTCAAGGCCGTAGAAGATTATGCGGTTTCCTAATGGCGGGATAGTTTCCCTCTAATATTCTGCATTTCGCAAATTCACCTAAAAAAAAAACAATTATTTTTGAATTTGAAACATTTCAATTGGTTTATTGTTTTATAATTTTGCATTTTCGGATAATGAAAGGGAACGAATAAATTTTTAGTTTAAGAAATCCAAAAATCAAACACATGAATTCTTTCAGGAAATAAAATCTAATTTACAAAAATATTTATTCGAGGTCACAATGTTCATAGTACCATCATGCGTAGCAAAGGACTCATCATCAACCTCTGTTTGATCTTCTTATACTGCAAATTTTACAAATCTCCAAAACCATAGCCAAAGCATTGTAAAGGCAAACACAAGAACAGAGACAATTCAGTTTCAACAAACCAACGACAAACTTCTTTCTTACACTGACCAAAAACCAAAATATCAACTTATTCTCACTTCTCCACTTGCGTGTACTTCCTTTACAGTCTTGTCGTATTCATCCTCATCGTCTTCCTCTTCTTCCACCTCCTCCTCCTCTTCCTCCTCCACGTCTTCTGCATCTTCCTCCTTTCCCTCTCCATCTCCATTTCCTCCCCAGCCAAAACCTCCGATGGACCGGGAAATAGGAGGCGGTGTTTTGGCGTCAGCCACTATCTTCATGATCTCTTCAACGGTCTGAAGGGAGAAGGTTGGGTTCTCTTTCTTGAAATATGCAGCTTGAGCTGTCTCTGTGAGTTCTCTTGGCAAATTCTTCAGGAACCATGGATGTTTCTTGATTTCTACAATGGTTATCCTCTACAAAAACAAGAAATAGCTCAATTGTTCAGAAAAAAAAAAACATCTTTTGACAACATTTAATTCAGTTAATTGATGTATACCTTGAGTGAATTGGCGACAAATATACGGGAAAGGAGATGTTTACAATCCTGTGAGATATGGACGTAGTCCGGGATCTTGTACTGGACAGCCATAATTTTCTGTATAACAAGATCACACATTGATGAATAGGATGTAGCATACTGAAAGGGAGATATGCAGACACAAGGCTTCAAAAAAGAAACCTACTTGTATTGTTTTCCTGAAGTTTTTGGGGTCTTCCTGGTCTTCAAATGGGTACGCTCCAACCAGCATGACATAAAGAGTCACACCACAGGACCATACATCAGCCATCTGAAAGAGGAAAAAGATGCTTCAAATCTTTAGCGACTTCCACGAAGATGTCGCTTTGATTTCAAAAGCAAAAATGTAAAGAGCATGACAGTTTCATAAGCACTCATTGGTTTATGTAAGTTCATTGCATTAAATACCTTGCCATCATATTCTCTCCGAGAAAGGACCTCAGGTGCAATATACGCTGGAGTTCCAACAGTTGATTTGGGCCTAGAGTGCAGCAGAGAGGACTACAAAAAGAGAATAACAAATCACTTGACAATTCTTTTACTACAAAGGGGACGAACAAAAGAGGATCTTGCAGACAAGGGGAGAACTTGGATATTTTTTAAGAGTCAAACCTTGGAATAACCAAAATCACAGATTTTCAGACGTGGAGCAGGGCTTCCATCCAGGAGCGTATTCTCGAGCTTCAGATCTCTGTGGCATATTTGCTGCAACAAAATAGCCAACACATGATTAAAAAAACAACTTCAAACATCCAAGGGATAAAGTGAATCTTGTTTAAATCATTTCTCTGCCTTACCATAGCATGGCAATAACTAACACCTGATATAAGTTGTTGGAAGAAGTATCTCGCCTGGAAAAGAGAGAAAGGATTAGAAAGTACACCCCAATTGTTTAACACTTGATACTAAATAAGAATAGGTTCACAAGTTTTCTCTTCTTCCCTTCCTCCTACTCTAACCATACAGAAATCCAACTTTGTCCTACATAGGAGTACTTGCATATTAGCAAAAGCACACCACAATTTCAAATGACAAGCTCACCTCATCTTCACTAAATCTTCCAGCACTGCAGATACGCTCGAATAGTTCACCACCAGCAGCATATTCCATGGCAATGGCAAGATGGGTTGGAGTCAACACCACCTATAAAATCCAAAACGAATGTAAGAGGAAAGCTATAAGATTATCAACATCAAAAGAAACATTTTCATCATAGCAAGAACAACACCCATGTCAAGCAGCAAAAAATTCACTAACCTCCTTAAACCGGATTATATTCGGATGGCGAAGTGATCTGTGATTAATGATCTCTCTTGCCACGTTCTCATCAATCTGTATCCACAAAAACAACAGAGTAAATACTCAGCCTACAAATCTTTTTAGAAATATAATAACAACTCTACAAAATTGCAGACTAGAAATATAAAGAGAGGAATAAACCTTAGGACCACGCTCGATGTACTTCATGGCAACAAGTTCCTTAGAGTTTTTGACCTTCATGAGCCTGGCCACTCCGAAATTCCCAGCACCTATGTCTTTCACCAGCTCGTACTTGTCCATTCTCGCTCGCCAAAATCGACAACCCTAATTCCAAACACACAAAACAGAAAGGAAAACCCAACAAAAATCTCCAAAATTCTCGTTATAAATTCCAACTCCAGTTCTAGACCTAGCAGCTAAGAATTTTCACGTGAAATCATAAAAAGGAAACAAGACGAAAAAAAACCAGACAGTATCCCAAAATCAAGGATGCGATTCCGAGATCTCGCGATTCGTAGAGAAAGCGAAAAAAAGGAAAGAGAGATGACGATGGAAGGTTAATTTGAGATTTGGATTGGAGAGATTTCAAGGCAAAGCGAAGAATCAACTTTTTTTTCTTCTTGTTGGATTTTTTTTTTTTTTTTTTTTGGGGTGAAATTAATAGAGAAGTAATGATGAGAATGAAGAATCTCCCTCTCTGGCTAAACAAACTCTCATGATGTTTTTTTGTTTTTTTATTAAAATAATATGAGATTTTTTTTTTAAGAAAATGGGACCCACAAGTTTCCATGCGATCCATACATGTTGTTTCCCTTGCTGATTCGAGTGCATAATTCCGATTTTTTCAGTCACCAACACGCTTTTTTTTTTCTTTCCCCCTAATATCATAATTTTTAAGAGTACAAGTTAAAAAAAACCTAAACGCAATACAAAATTTTAAGAGAACAACATAATAGTGATGTTCAACTTTACACTATTTACACGACACGATTGATCAGGAGAAAGCTGATTCGCCTTAGATTCTTTTGGTTCTATGTAGACAGAATCATTGTCCATAAATCACATTTTTCTCTATGGAGATTGTCACTCAAACGTAACCTTTCAATGAATTTATTATTTATGTCATGATTTTCATCTACTTTTAACATTTTCTTCAACATTTCCCAATATATACGTAGTATATATAGGGGAGTCTTCAATTCCCAGTTCTAATCTGAATCTTCAATTTCCTCTCGATTTGGTTGAGGTGAAGGGCGAATCTGCTCAGCTTCCCGAATCCATGGTGGGTCTGTCGTCTTTGAGCATAGTGTCTGAGATCTCCTCCACTGTGGCTCCTATCATTTCTTCTCCTCCGAATGTGAGCTCAGTGTCTGAGATCTCCTCCACTGTGGCTCATATCAATTCTCCTCCTCCGGTTGTTCACAGTCCCTCAAGCGGCCATCCTTCGTCGGCTGTGAATGTTCCTCTTTCGATTGAGCTGCCTTGGGCAACAAAATTCAAGGCCTCTCTTCGAAACTTAAAGCAGATGAATCCTCCTTCCTTCCTTGAAGATGGTACGCCAGTGGTGGTGGCTCCTTCTTCGGTCTTATTGAAAACTGCAGAGATGTGGAAAGGCCATATTGTTGCTCAGTTCCACGGCTTATGTCCTCCTCCAGGAAAGATTTTCACCGATTTGAATCCGATTTGGGGTAAGTTTGGTAACATCACGGTCCGTATATTCTCGGAGACTGCTGCTCTCATATTCATACCGTCGCCAAATACCAGACAGTGGGTCGTGGACATCGGGTTCTGGCAAGCTGGTAATTGCTCTTGCACTTGCTATCACTGGTCTCCGGATGGTCTGCTTGAGGTTCAGGAGCTGCAGACTGCACCAACTTGGGCTATTTTAAGAAATGTCCCTCCTCAGCTTTATTCTCTGGAAGGAATAAGTGTGATTGCAAGTGGTATAGGAGAGCCATTGCACACAGAGAAGTCTAGGTTGGATCCGGTAAACATTGGTTTCACGAAGGTGAAGGTGGTTATAAATTTGGAGTCAACATTACCATCCACAGTGGTTGTTCGTGATGTGCAGGGTAATTCAGTAAAGGTTGAAGTAGAGTATCCGCGTCCTCCTCCGAAGTGTTTAAACTGTGGGAGGTATGGACATCTTCTTAGTCGGTGCCCTAAACCACTATTGAGAAAGCTCCCTTATAAGAAAGATAAGCCTTCAGGGTCTAAGGAGGTTAATCTCTCCTCCACTTCTGTTATCCCTTCTATTGGGACTGATTGCACCTCGAAAGATTTAGAGAAATCTAAAGGAGAAGCCACATCCTCAAGAACTAGAAGGAGGCGCTCTCGGTCCAAGAAGCGTTCAACTAGTATGCCGCCAAAGATGGTTGATATATCGGCGGGTTCTAAGGAGAGATGTAGAATGGGGACTGCCATTGGGGAAAAGTTGAAGTGGGTAGCAAAGTCGGATATAAGGCCTGCGTCTTCTATCCCTTCCAGTAGTAATCTTGGTTCTATTGATAAGCGGCAGTCTGTTATTCAGAATCAGATCCCTGTTGAGGGAGTGGAGATACAGGTAGGGAGTGACTCGCTTCTGGTCCAGGATTTTCCCTACCCTCCTGATTGGGATAGCCAGTCAAATAAGTCAAAGAAAAAACAACTAAAAATCTGGCACAACCAGATGCGATCTGCACGTCAATTAGCTCAAGCTGCGGTTCGGGATGAAGTCCCGCACGAACCGTCTCTTCATTGAAAGCAGGGCTTTCCCAAAACCTTTTGTTATAATTATGACGATGTTTTTCTGGAATATAAGAGGCTTAAACAGCCGATCTCGTCAACGGGTAGTTAGAAGCTGGATTGCTTCAAATAATCTTCTAGTCGGTTGTTTTTTGGAAACGCATGTAGCTCAGGTTAATGCCAGTGCTGTTTTGGCTGCAACTCTTCCGGGTTGGAGGATGGATAATAATTATTGCAGCTCTGAACTGGGAAGGATCTGGGTGGTGTGGGATCCGTCGGTTTCAGTTTTGGTGTTCAGGAGGACTGATCAGTTGATGATGTGCTCTATCAAGATTCCTAATATTTTGCAGTCCTTCGCTGTCACTTTTGTTTATGGGAGAAATACTGAGCTTGAGAGAAGGAGTTTATGGGAAGACATCTCTAACCTGGCTGCCTCTTCTCCTCTGTGTGACACTGCTTGGATTTTAGCAGGTGATTTCAATCAAATTGCTTCTCTTAGCGAACATTACTCAGTCATTCAATCTAATGTGTCTCTTAGGGGTTTAGAAGACTTCCAATCGTGCTTGAGTGATAATGATCTGATGGATATTCCTTCTCGTGGTATTTTCTACACTTGGTCCAATCATCAACAGGACAATCCTATCATCAGGAAGTTGGACAGAGTTATAGCTAATGGTGAATGGTTTTCTTCTTTTCCTAGTGCAACTGCAGTCTTTGATCCTCCTGGTGATTCCGATCATGCGCCTTGTATAGTGAGAATGGTCAACCAACCTGCTGCCTCAAAAAAGTGTTTTAAATACTTCTCCTTCCTTGCTTCCCATCCAGAGTTTCTCAACTATATTGCCACTGCCTGGGCGGATGAGATACTGGTTGGTTCCTCAATGTTCTCTCTGGGAGAGCACCTAAAAGCTGCAAAGAAGGCTTGTAGGAATCTGAATAGGCTTGGTTTTGGTAACCTGCAGCAAAGAACAAATGAGGCTTTGGTCGCGTTGGAAAATATCCAGACTCAATTGCTTTCCTCTCCTTCTCCTTCTTTATTCAGGGAAGAGCATGTCGCTAGGAAGAAGTGGGATTTCTTTGCTGTGGCTCTTGAGTCATTTTACCGGCAGAAATCAAGAATTAAGTGGCTTAAGGATGGGGATGCAAATACTCGGTTCTTTCATAGAGTGGTTTTGGCTCATCAGGCTAGGAACCTGATCAAGTTTCTCAGAAGGGAAGACGGTGAGAGAGTTGAAAATGTGGACCAGTTAAAACAAATGATTGTGGCTTACTACTCTCACCTCTTAGGGACTGAAAGTAGTATTACTTCTCCTTTCTCGGTTGAAAGAATTCGGGCAATCCACCCGTTTAGGTGTGACCTGTCTCTTGGGGAAAAACTTGTTGCCATCCCAACTGATGAGGAAATAATTGAAACTATCTTCTCAATGCCGAGGAACAGGGCTCCCGGTCCGGATGGCTTTCCGGCTGAATTCTTTTGGGATTCTTGGTCTGTCATAAAGGAAACTACTATCAAAGCGGTAAAGGAATTTTTTGAAACTGGTTATCTCCTCAAGAAGTTCAACTCCACAGCCATTACACTTATTCCTAAAGAAGTTGGAGCGGACCAGCTGCCACAGTTTAGACCGGTTGCCTGCTGTAATACAATATACAAAGTCATCACTCGCCTCATTTCCAAGAGACTAAAGCTCTTCATTTCCCAAGCTGTCCAAGGTAACCAAGTTGGTTTCATCAGGGGCAGATTGTTGTGCGAAAATGTCCTCTTGGCGTCTGAATTAGTAGAGAATTTTCATGTCGATGGTGATATTACTAGAGGTTGCTTACAGATCGATCTCACAAAGGCTTATGATAATGTGAATTGGGACTTTCTCATCAACATCCTCGTAGCCTTAGACTTACCTCCTATCTTCATCAATTGGATTAAGGTCTGTATCTCTACTCCTTCCTATAGTATTGCCTTTAATGGTGAGCTTATTGGATTTTTCCAGGGTAAGAAAGGAATAAGGCAGGGAGACCCCATGTCTTCTCATCTTTTTGTTCTGGTCATGGACATTCTAGCGAAATCTCTGGATAAGGGCGTTATAAATGGGCTGTTCCAGCCTCATCCTCGCTGCTTGGCTCCTCTGGTCACACACATTAGTTTCGCTGATGATGTGTTAGTCTTTTGTGATGGATCAGAATCTTCTATTGCGGGAATTCTGGAAATTCTTACGGAATTCAAACTTGGTTCTGGTCTGGGTATAAATCTGAGTAAAACTGCTTTGCTTCTTGATGGGGGCAATCTAGAGAGAAACAGTCTGATTGCAAATACCTTTGGGGTCTCGCTTGGCTCTCTCCCGGTCAGATATCTTGGGGTTCCGCTTATGGCTCAGAAAATGAAGAAATTTGACTATCAGCCCCTGATTGATAAAATCCATTCAAAGTTTTCCTCTTGGACGGCGAGACATCTGTCATTTGCTGGCCGGTTGCAATTACTGAAATCGGTTATTTACTCTACAATCAACTTCTGGTTTTCTGTATTTCTCTTACCAAACCAATGCCATCTCAAACTTGAGCAGATGTGTAACGCCTTCTTATGGAAGGGCGCCCCTAATTCGGCTAGGGGAGCTAAGATTGCATGGGATACGGTTTGTTTACCTAAGGAATGTGGAGGCCTTGGCTTGAGGAGATTGTCGGACTGGAATAATGTTTTTGCTCTAAAACTTATTTGGTTGCTGTTTTCTGCTGCAGGATCCTTATGGGTTTCCTGGGTGAGGATAAATCTGATAGGTCAAAGGAACTTTTGGGATTTAAATCCTTCCTCCTCTGGCAGCTGGATATGGAGAAAACTTTGCAAACTAAGGCCACTGGCCAGACCATTCCTTATCTGCGACATTGGTTCTGGTGAGACTGCAAGCTTCTGGCAGGACAATTGGACTGGCCATGGCCCTCTTATTGATCTAACTGGAAGTTCTGGTCCCCGCTCTGTTGGGCTGCCTCTAAATGCTGTGGTGAGAGATGGTTTAAGGGGTAGCACTTGGTGGCTTTCTTCAAGTAGGAGCAGAAATCCATCTATTACTTTGCTCAAATCTATTCTCCCGGATGCATCTAGTATGGTTAACTGTCTCCATGATGATGTTTATCTCTGGAAGCCAGATCATCATGCTCCTTCTAATCTCTTCTCTTCATCTAAGACTTGGTTAGCTTTGAATCCTACTGGTGCTGCTGTTCCGTGGCATAGGTCGGTGTGGTTCAAGGATCGGGTCCCGAAACATGCGTTCATTGCCTGGGTTGTTGCGTGGAATCGCTTACATACGAGGGATAGATTAAGGTCCTGGGGCTTAAACATCCCTTCTGTCTGTGTGCTGTGCAACACTTGTGCCGAATCTCGGGATCATTTATTTTTTGACTGCCAATTTAGCAATGATATTTGGAGGTTCTTCACTTCGCGTGCGGGTCTTTATCCTCCTACTCAGTTTATGGCTGTTCTTCTTTGGGTAAATTCTGCTACTTCTTCGAGGAATTTATCCCTAATTATCAAACTCATCTTCCAAGCTTCCATCTACCTTATTTGGAGAGAGCGGAACTCTAGGATCCATTCCACCAATGTGAGGTCTCCTCTTTCGATTATTAAGGAGATAAAAACCATCCTCAGGGCGCGGCTTGACCCTATCTCTAGGGCTCAATCTTCTATCCCCCTCGGTTCCTCTCTTATGGTTACCTGGTTCTCTTTGTTTCAGGATCCTTAGTTGCAGGTAAGTGTCTGTTCTCTGTTTTTGTTTGTCCTGGACTCTTCTTTAGGGTCTGGTAGTTCTATCTATTTTCAGTTTGTTGTATGGGCCATGTGGCCGTCATGGGCCTTTGGGCCTTGTACTTTTTTCTTCTTTAATGGAAATTTAAAATGAAAAAAAAAAAAAAAAAAAAAAAAAAAAAAAAAAAAAAATATATATATATATGGTTCACACGTTTCGTCTCCAAAACCATTAATAGACCGTAGATGGGCTTAAACTAAATACGTTTCTTAGTAGTACAGGCCCAATTAATAGAGCAAGAAGAAGTTGTGAGCCTTATCGTTTTTGTATGACCCAAAATCTCTACAAAGTGACCCAAAATTTCTACAAAGTGAAACACTGAGCTGAGGATCTCGCTCTCTCCTCGATTGGTATCTCTCGCTCCGTCATTCCTCAGATCTGATCGTCCGCCGGTTTTCACGATGCCGTCTCCCTCCTCCGCCGTCGTCGTGTTTCTTCTTCTCGTTTCCCTTCTCTCTCCTACGTTCGCATCCGATTCAGATCACAAGGTAAGACTCGGATCTCCTCCAGTCGTTTTTTTTTAATGCAGCTCGAAATCGAGCACTGTGTCCGTAGATCTCGTGATTTGCATGGTAGTTGCGATCGAATTTTTTTTCATGGATCTGTTCGTTTTCGGATAGGTAGGATCCTCGAGCTTCCATCCAATTACTGTTTCGTTGCAAGTCTAGGGGTATTTTTTTCTTCATTGTGATGTAGGCTTTTCGCAATCTCGAAATTAGTTATAAATTTTGCTACGGGATTGGTATTCTCTTTGATTTGATACTCAGAAACCCAGTTTTTGCACGTGGTAGTCTGTTTGATGTTCAAATACTTGGATCAGTACTGAGTTATGTTGTAATTGAGTGGCATTTAATTTACTAGTATCTTCGAGATGTAGATCTTATAGCTCTGAGGTCGTGAGAAGTAACTGTAGAAAAGTTTTTCAATTTGTATCTAAAAATGTGATACTGAAAGCGTCACACCTGGCTTCTTTTGCTGATGGTAAGTTTCAGCTCAAAATTGTTCTTGTCTTTTGTGATATTGGAGATCATGAGATCCAGGGCTTTAATGTGTTTGCTCCTCTGCCTTCTTACTAGTGTGACATTTAAATTCGATTCCAACTAAATCTTTTCTACTTGAAAGATGATAGATAAAGGCGGGTTATGCATCATTCTAGCTTTATAAGAGGATTAGTCTAGAGGCCATTATTTCTGTGCGAACCAATACAATTTGGAATGATGCAAATAACATATACTCAGAAAAACTCATTTTACCTATGTATATTTATGCATTATATGTTTTTGTTTGTGCTGCACACTCAGGAAAAATAAGATCATAGTGTCATCTATCTATTAAATCTGCGTCATTTGTGTGTAGACATTTTTAACTCTTGATTCTTGAAATGATATTGGACTATGCCCTTATCAATATCTGTCTGTCTACTGTCTACGCTTGACATTTAGTCTGTTCTCTTTAATGGAATTTTGGTTCTTACTCTCTCTTACTAGTTGATCCAAACATTTCTTTGCATTTCTGTCTAGTCAATGATTTTGCTTTCACCTTTTTCAGTATCAAGCCGATGAGCAGGTTACCCTGTGGGTGAACAAAGTTGGCCCATATAACAATCCACAAGAAACATACAACTATTACAGTCTTCCATTTTGCCGCCCGTCTGGAAACAATGTTCACAAATGGGGTGGTCTTGGTGAAGTACTTGGTGGAAATGAGCTGATTGACAGTGAGATTGCGATAAAGTTCTTGAGTATGTTTCAATTCTTAGACGAGCTTCTTTTTCATACTAGTTATCTTACCTGTGCTCTAATTACACTACCTTTTCTGTTTTTCCACAGAGAATGTCGATAGAAATGTCATCTGTCCGCTTGAACTCGATGAAGCTAAGGTCAAGCATTTCAAAGATGCAATTGAATCTAGCTACTGGTTTGAATTTTTTATGGGTATGTTTCACATTCTCTTGTAAATATTGCCGCTGAAATAGCATGAAAATAAAGCTGATTTAATATCTAAGATGTTACAATTTCCTACTATGTAAAGTTTGGAAACATTTTGTATCTGCCGAGTTTTCCTTTGATTATTCTTTCATCATGCAAATCTAAATTATTCCTATATTTATCTTCACTGCATTACCAATATCATTTACGGCATTGGATGTTGTAGGATATATAATCTTACATTACTTCTTTGGATTGCTAACCTTATTTCTCACTTTTTCTGTGGCATGATTTGCGTGGACTTTCATTGGGTGGTTCTAACTTCAGATGATCTACCTTTGTGGGGTATGAACTTTGTATATTTACTTGAAACATCCAAAATTTATTATTTTCTTTGTTAGTTTTATATAGTTATAATACTGTCTCATTGCTGTTGTAGGCTTTGTGGGTGAGCTGCATCCAGACAAAAATAGTGAAAACGGCAAGCATGTCCTCTACACACATAAGAACATTGTTGTCAAATACAACAAAGACCAGGTCGGTTGTTGCTACGCCATTAAGCAATAGTAGTATGGATATCATGCGAACTACAGCTGTGATCTTATTTATCTATTTTAATAGATCATTCATGTTAATCTCACTCAAGACAACCCAAGGCCATTGGAAGCAGGGAAAAAAATGGACCTGACGTATTCTGTGCAATGGATTCCAACAAATGTCACATTTGCTCGCCGCTTTGACGTCTATCTGGATTATCCGTTCTTTGAACACCAGGTAACTTTTAGCATGCTATGTATTAGTCTTTAACCCTTCTGCTAATGTCTATGATTCAGAATGGCTCACAGCTTTATAATGTATCACACTGAATACCCCATTTCATGCTTGTTCATAAGTGCAAGCCATAATTATGGTTACAAGAATTTACCAAATTTCTATGTTCCATCTCTTCAAGATTTCTGTTCAAGCTTTATAAGCCTTCTAAGAGTTTTATTTTTTATTTTTTGGCAGATCCACTGGTTCTCCATCTTTAACTCGTTCATGATGGTTATTTTCCTCACTGGTTTGGTCTCAATGATATTGATGAGGACTCTCAGAAATGATTATGCAAAGTATGCTCGAGAAGATGATGATCTTGAGAGCTTGGTGATGTCTCCTCAACTTTTATTTGTCATTAGCTGCACATTTTTTTTTTTTTTTTGCTGTTACTACTCACGAGCAGTTTGTCCAACACTTCTTTCTTTATTTCTAAATGCAAGGCTGCATAGACATTTCTGACATTAGTATTGATGGGCACAGGAACGGGATGTAAGTGAAGAATCTGGTTGGAAACTTGTACATGGAGATGTGTTCAGGCCAGCAAGTAGTCTAGTTCTACTCTCAGCTGTAGTTGGCACAGGTGCACAGTTGGCGTTACTGGTTCTTCTTGTCATATTAATGGCCATCGTGGGAACTCTCTATGTTGGGTACGTATTACACTCTTCTTTTCTCTTGCAACCTATGTTGTGTTGTTTTTCCCTACATTCTTTTTAGTATTTTTGGTTGGCTTGTATATTCGGATTTTGCTCACCTCGTATTCTAATTATTTCAGGAGAGGAGCAATCGTCACAACTTTCATAGTTTGCTATGCTCTGACTTCCTTTGTCTCTGGTTACGTGAGCGGTGGAATGTACTCAAGAAGCGGGGGTATGACTTACTCGACTTGGCGGACCCCTCCAGTGTTACTTTCCTCTCTAACTATTCAAGTAATTTAAATGCTGGTTTATTCAGGTAAACATTGGATCAAGTGCATGGTCCTCACGGCTTCTCTCTTTCCCTTTTTGTGCTTCGGAATTGGCTTTCTCCTAAACACAATTGCCATATTCTATGGATCTCTTGCGGCTATTCCTTTTGGGACAATGGTGGTTGTGTTTGTAATTTGGGGGTTCATTTCCTTCCCCTTAGCCCTCCTCGGAACAGTTGTTGGAAGAAACTGGAGCGGTGCTCCTAACAATCCATGCCGTGTGAAGACCATTCCACGTCCAATCCCTGAGAAAAAATGGTACTTGACTCCATCAGTTGTCTCCCTGATGGGGGGTTTGCTACCCTTTGGAAGCATCTTCATTGAGATGTACTTTGTCTTCACATCCTTCTGGAATTACAAGGTAAAAATAGTTTCTTTGATAAGAAGAAAGCTATGGAACTGTTAATTCTTATTCCAGTTGACCAAAGCAGAGAGATTTGATTAGTGAGAGACTCTCAACTCTCAACCAAACCCCTAAAAATCTACCCCCTTCAGCAATCGGCCTAGACAGCCTTTGTAATCCAGCCCTCTCTAACTGCTCATTACCCATCTCACAACAGCTACGATCTGCAACATTAAGACCTAGGCTAGATGTAGTAGCCCTGTAGCTAAAGTTTGAGAAGCTGAACTTCTTTAAGTAGACCCACTTTGTCTTTGTTTATCATCTAAAGTAAAATATATTTTCTATTTCTGAAAGTTGTCTGTTTTTTTTTTTGGTTCAACAGGTCTACTATGTGTATGGATTCATGTTACTAGTTTTTGTGATTCTCGTCATAGTGACGGTGTGTGTGACAATCGTGGGTACATACTTCCTGCTGAATGCAGAGAACTATCACTGGCAATGGACTTCATTTTTCTCTGCTGCTTCGACGGCTGTGTATGTCTACTTATACTCCATCTATTACTACTACGTAAAGACCAAGATGTCCGGATTCTTCCAGACAAGCTTCTACTTTGGATACACCATGATGTTCTGTCTTGGCCTTGGAATCCTTTGCGGTGAGCTCACTTTCTCCACTCTCCTCAAACTAGCGAGTGGTGTTATTGATTTGACTAAACCTTCTTCTTGTGAAAATTTTGCAGGAGCTGTTGGATACTTGGGATCAAATCTGTTTGTAAGGAGGATCTACAGAAACATCAAGTGCGACTAGAAGAGGTAAACGGGAAAAAAAGAGAGAAAACAAATCCAATTAGAAGAAAGCTTCTTATGAGGTTATATATTATATTGAAGGAACATAATATATTCTTCAATGGGGGCTTTTTGTCTCTTCATCTTCTTTTTTCTTCTTCTTTTTTTTTTTCTTTCCCATTTTGGTAAGTGAATTGTTCTCTTTAGATTAGAATCGAGTGGGTGTACTATACTACTACTACCTGTAATCTTTTTCCCTATCTTTTTTTGGTTCATATTTACTTCACCTCACCCCTAGATCATTGAATATGTTGTCCTCTAGGAGCAATTGGATGAATTATTGTCATGTGTTGGGACTTGGGAGACGTTAACTCTCTTTCATGGTGTTAATTTGGTTTCATGGGGTAGTGAGTTTATTGGGTTATAAATATCCGTGAAGTCCTTTCTAAGAAAATTCTGACTTAGTTACATGCATTGGTTCAATCTGAAAACTTAGTGGGACCTGCGAGCATTAAAATTGCAAAAGAGATACAAGTTAATACTTAATACTAATAGACATAAAATAAATTAGTGGAGATAAAAAGGACTCGAGATGCAGATTTTGTTGCCATGTTGATAGTGTAAATGGGAGAACAAAAGACAATTTATAGTAAATCAGCAAAAAAAAATTCATAAATAGCAATTTAGAACCCAAACAAGCCTAGAATCTTCCTAGTCCCATATTCTGATTGCGACTTGTCCCATGTCCGAGCCACATATTTACTCTCACCAACAAAACAGTGCACAAATGTAACACAAAGACACATAGACAATCAACAAGAAGATAACACAAGAGCCCACACATCGTACGCCACGTGGTAGATACTCCTCCTTATAATCCTCTCGCCCTCTCAGTTTCTACGCCATTTTCACAAAGTCACACCCACTCACAGAATCATCAGAATCATCATCATCTTTCAACAATGGCTTCCACTGCTCTCTCCAGCGCAATCGTAAGTACCTCTTTCCTCCGCCGTCAACAGACACCAATCAGCCTCAGATCTCTCCCGTTGGCCAACACACAATCTCTCTTCGGCCTCAAATCCTCCACCGCTCGCGGCGGCCGCATCACTGCCATGGCTACCTACAAGGTCAAGTTCATCACACCTGAGGGAGAACAAGAAGTGGAGTGCGAAGAAGATGTCTACGTCCTCGACGCTGCTGAGGAAGCCGGACTTGACTTGCCGTACTCATGCCGTGCCGGTTCTTGCTCAAGTTGCGCCGGGAAAGTCGTCTCTGGCTCTATTGACCAGTCGGACCAGAGCTTCTTAGACGATGACCAGATGAGCGAAGGCTATGTCTTGACCTGTGTGGCTTATCCGACTTCTGATGTCGTCATCGAAACCCACAAAGAAGAAGCCATTATGTAAAAAATTAAGCTTTTTGATGAATTTCAATTAAAAGAGAAATAACTTGATGTATAAGTCATCTCTCTTGTTACTTCGCTAATGTTGCCCTAATTTGGCTCATCCTTTTATAAGATCAATCAATAATAACAAATTTCAATGTTTTATTCTTCAACTTTGGTTGGTTTTTAACATCTAATTATTTCTAATATGTTCCTCTATTTATTATATTCATATGAATCAAGGCAAAAATATGAAGTTGCAGGAGCAGTATATTATTTGATTCTACATGAGATAATATGTAATCTAAGAGCTAAGCCCAAATGGCGAGAGCGGACATAAGTCCAGCTCCAAGGAACAACATTATATAAGACACAACTTGAAGCCTCACATTACAACTCATCCTCTTGCTTAGAAAATCAGCTGCGATGAGGTCCACCAGAGCCATGTACACCAGAATCCCAGCTGACAGCGAGTCCAGTATCCCCTCGGTGACCAAAGCTCCAGGGCTATGCGAGTTGAAAGACGAGGCCACTGCGGTTCCAATTCCGATCCCTATCGGTGTGGTTAGCGCGAAGAAGCAAGCCATTATGGTTGCTGATTTGTTCCTGAACTGTGCCTGAGAGATGCAGCCTCCGAGCGCAAATCCTTCAAAGAACTGGTGAAATGACAGAGCTGCAATGAGAGGCCTGATCGTGCATGGAGACTGCGATACTCCGAGGGATAAACCGATGATGATTGAGTGCGACACAATCCCAAGCTCCAATATCTGCAAAATCAATAAAAAAAGGGTGAGATCAATCGATAAGATGATGTATAGATACCACATTGCAAAGGAGGAGGACTAGTAAACGACTTATACAAGCTAGCTTTTGAGGTTTCTAAAGTGTTTGCAGGCCTAATCATAACACACACACTAGCTTCTACTTTGATATATGAATCACAGTTTGTGACAAGGGATAAGAGATTTAAACCTGAGAAACAACAACATGCCTAGCTCCATTTTCAACATCTGAATTCCCGTGCACATGTCCATGTCCATGTCCGTGTGAATGTCCATGAGCATGTCCATCACATGTACCATGGCTATTAGAGTGACTATGCCTATGGTGAGCAGCATGAGCACGAATACCAACAATGTGAATCCCGCCACCGTCTTCTTCACCAAATACTTTATTATCGTTGACTCTTTCCCCAACCACGGGAACAACAGCAGTCTCTTCACGACCAGGCTCAACAACAGCGGTTTCACCAGCAGCCTGATTCCTCTCTTGCTTCCTCTCATAGTACTGTGTCCCCATAAAATCCACAAGCAGAGTAACTAAAGCAGCCACCATTGCAAAGAAACCGGGAAAGGGAAACTTAGACCACGGATAATCTGGTAAACACGGATTACTCAGAGCTTCCGTGCCGCCTGCAAGCATATGGACAAATCCAGTGGCGAGTATGACACCAGCTGCAAAGGCTTTAGCAGCTACAAAGAGATTTCCCTCGGTTTGAAGGAACCGACGGTTCCTGCCAATGAGAGGTATGGCTACACCAGCAGCTCCAGCTAATAGAATGGAGGCAATGGCTACAAATTTGAGTAGAAATGCAGCTGAATCGTCTCTACAGAGGTCTGACTCACCGGCATCACAGAGGATTTTAGTGGTAGAAGAAGCCATTGTCTCGGGGATTATCTGCAAAATGGACTCTTTGGATGTTTCCATGGTCCATATAACAACAGATAACGCAATTCAGAAAAAGCTTAAGTTTTGGAATCTAGCAATCAAAGGAAAATCTCATTTCATTTCACTAATTTTCTCAGCTAAATCTCAATTAGAAGATGGAGAATTCTACATCAAACAAAAATTTCCAAATACGGAATGGAGAGGAAGAAGAAGAATCTCACTGAAATGTAGGGTAAGTGTTCGATGAAATACCTGAGAGAGAATCTCTTTCTGATCCAAACGAGTATAGAGGAAACAGTTTCCAAAGAACCTATAAGAACAAGATAAGAGAATCCAGAATCAGATTCCACAATTATAAAACCATAAGTTCCGGTTATAAAGAGTTGGAGAGATGAATCGAATCTCAAGGAGAGGATTAGACTAACATCGACGATGATCATGGGAACAAGAGTTTCTTCTTCTTCCTCGGGATCAAGAAGAAGCAGAAAGTGAGTCTATAAAATATGAGAAATCGAAAAGGAGGCAACTTGGAGAAAGAGCGAAAGAGTGTCGACATTCTCAGGACGTTGCATTTACGAATTGGTTCGCTCCGTGGCAGTTGATCACTCATCAGAGACTGACGCGATATTAAACAGAGCTTCCCAATCTTGTCTATACTTAGGCAAAATGTCGACATTATCGCGTTATTCTGTTTCTTCACTTTTATTTCTTTAAAACAAAACATAATAAAGGAGTGATTTCTGTCTTTTTCGATGTAAATATTGGGATTGTAAAACATTTGTTTTTTTTTTTGTGTGGATAAAATAACCTATGGATTGATGATGCAAAGTGTTAATGCATTTGCTAATCTATATTTTATTGCTACTAAATGCACTGAGACTCTTTTTGTGTTTAGTATATTGAATTGATAGTTGCCAAGTAGTACAATTGAACGAGAGGTAACTGCAAATGCTTATTTCAATGGAAGACATAATGATTGCAACTTAAAACTGTTTCTTTTGTTCCAAAATATTCATTTTCCATTTGTTCCACTACCAACAAGTTCATGAAACAGAAAATCCGATTACTGCAGAGAAGATTATAGGAGTTCAAAAGAACTTAAAACACACCAAAAGCCGTAGGTTAGGAGTAGCTTAAGCTGAAAATGGATGACTAGCAGGCAGCTTTAGCTAAAAGTACGGTAACTTTGTAAGATGGGGGTTTCACCTCTCCCCTGGTAAATTTCCAAGCAATATGATGAATGCTTCCAGAAGAGTCTTCCTTTCATACCTCTCAACATCGCCATCTTCAGCCTTTGTTACGTTCATACCGGTTTCTGCAACGGAGAGATCATCTTCTTCAGCCTCTTCCACCATGTCAGCTACGTATAGGTACCTACAATTTCAAACCAGTATATATACATCAGACAAATATGTAAATAGCAACAGAGAAGATCAGATATACAAAGTTCACACATGTTAGAATTAAACACACAAGATCTTAGTGTGGAACTTAAAACAGGCCACATACGCACCCGATTGATAAAAGGGCAAAAGAGGATAGAGAGAGATTGATACCATACCTCATTGGTTTTTCCGATGGAGGCCAAAAGAGGCAAATCAGTACCAATAGTGCATAAGAAAGAGAGTACCAAAGTGTTGGGATCATCCACTTCACTTGCCAAAACTCACTTAGAGAGTTGTAGACATATACCTTATTCAAAAAAAAAATTCAGTCACGCAATCTTATGACTTTTTTCAAGTAATTTTCCCAAAGTTATCAGTAGACTAGCGAGCTGTTACCTGCACATAAAACCAGGCAAAATTGAGCACCATCATGGTTACAAGCATAGTTGCAAACTTCTTGTAGAGCTGCAGCTTAGCAATGTTCCTCTTATTCAGCTACATAAGAAAAACATGGGATTAACAGGGATGAAAATTTTAAGAAGAAATGGATCTTTGTAGAACTTTCAACAATTAGCAGGAAAAATATATAAGTGATATTTTATAAACATGTAGCAATCAGTGTGCCTATATCAATCATCAAATGAAAAGGAGGATTGTCTGTTTTTTCTTACCTTAAGCTTCTTAAGCGTTTTCCACAAGGATCTGAAAATCAACTGGATAAAGCAAGTTTCCAGTATAGCCCAAGAAAGCATTAGGAAAGTCATTCCATTTTCAGAAAAGTTCCCAAATTGCATAGCCAACCCGAGAGATTCGCTTATAACAAAGCATAGGACACCAATAAGAAGCATCCTCAATGTTATGCCACCAAGGGTAGGTCTCACTATCCCATACCCTGAAGATATGACCAACAGTAGAAGCCGGGAGAGTGCCTTCCTCATGGAAGAAAGGGTTATTGCCCATACTGTAACCTCCATAGGACTTGTACCAGCTGAGTCGAGATAAGCGAAGTCAAAGTACAGGAAGGCCAATTCACCCATGGTAAATACAATTACCAAGCTGATATGACTGTGCAACTGGATTCCATCCTTCCAATACTGAGCAACTTGTGGAAACCAAAGTAGGCCAAGAACCACATAAGCCAAAAGCATGAAGGCGTAGAACTTCATCAAAGGAGCTTTATCTCCCTGCAAATAGCCACCTCTGTTCTTCCAAACTGTTCTTCCTCTGATTGTGGTGCCATCCAATTCCGGATCACATGTCATGAAGTAAACAGTGTACCATCCAGTTTTCTTTATAATCACAGCTTCCGGAGACATCTTTACTTCTTCCTCACCCCTTTTGAAAAAAGTGGGAATCCGCTTAGGCCATTCAGGATCACTAGGATCTGCACTAATCATAACCTCGCCAAGTTTGCAGGAACCAGCATCTGCAAGTTTTGGCGTACAACACATGTCCTCAGATTTGAAAAAAGATCCACCAACTCTGTCTTTCTGCTTCACCTCAAATAGTATCGCTTCAACCAAGCCTGCAGTCACCTGAGTGGAATTCTGCTTGCTAGCAGATTCCTTGGTTCTTACAAAAGTGATATCATCAAACCTACAAAAACATAAAACAGAAACATCCATAAGAAACCAAAAATCCCCATCTACATATGCACAAGTAAATCCCTAAGAAACAGTAATACAAATCTACAAGCTCGTATACATATAAATCTTGAAATTTCCTTGGAAACGCTACACCAAAGTGCAAAATCCAGTACCAAAGAAACCAAATCGTTGTAATGTCCATGGATTCACTAGACAAAACGAGCAAAATCCAGTACCTAAGAAGTAGTAAAACCCAAATCTACAAGCTCACACTATAAAATCAAAGTCACACATGAAACCCTAACTCAGCGGGAAACAAACACAAATCAGAAGAGAAAACGAAATGCGTACCTGATGAAGGAGTTCCCCTTGAGAAGAGGTGTATCAGAAGAAGGATGAACATCCAGAAACTCAGAACCACAGATTCCTTCGGAACCACCAACAAAGTAGCGAGCATTCGAGATTTGGGTGAAGCCTTGGTTGTTGTACTCGTGAATCGACCCGTCAGCTGCGTGGATCAAGAGAAAAGCAAGAAGAGCCCACAGATTCGACATTCTTGACAAGTTTTGCTCACTCTTCGTCTTCTTCTTTCTCTCACTCTCACTGTCTCTCACTGTGTCACTCACAAAAGAAACACGCCAAAATTGCAGCCCCTTTTGGAAAACTATTTATTTTACTTTTTCATCATGAGTCGTTTCCGTACTGTTACGTACAACACCTCTCCAAGCTTATCCATCCATAGAAAAAAAAAAACACGGACCAACGGCTATTTTGTTGCACACTGGGCCAGGCCTTTTAGGCCCAATATAATTATTAGTCACATCCCAATCTACATTATATTCTTCTTCTTTTCTTTTATTTTCTTTGTTTGTATAGTGGTATCAACAAAATTTTCTTACTATATAGTCTGAAGATGTACCATACTTATCAATTTATCATCAACCATGGAGAAAGCCTATAACATGAATAAAACTGTGGATGATCTCGTACACAAGAAAAGAAAATTCCTAAACCCAAGTATGTACTTATCAATTTATCATCAATCATGGAGAAAAAAAAATTCCTAAACCCAAGTAATTAAACCTACCAAAACCGATTAAAATCGAAATGCCACCACCTTAGTGAAGGACCAACGAAAGATTTACTTTTGTTAACGTATGATTGTATGGTTGTCAAGTAATTACAACTTAACCAAGATTCTAAAAGCAGAAACAAGATCAAGTCCTCCTAAATAACTCAAGAAGTGTTTCTCCATTATTCTCTTCACTCCCACTCTCTCTCCTTCCATTATCTTCTTCACTTTCAATCTCAATCTCAATTTCATCGTTTAGAGGCGGCATTGAACCTATGTTATTGTATGTTTCAGACAGATATTCTTCCACCCTCGACGTATATCCATCTTGAGGACTGCTCGATGAAGCTGCTGCTCCGAATATGGACTCTGCTTGGTCTATGGAGTTTATGGTTATCTGATTCAGTGAAGTCATCGATGAGCTCCTCGATAATGTCCCCACTGTCATCTCGTCTCTCTCATCTATTGTTGCTGTGTCAAGGGAACACACTGATCTCGTGTGCTTAGACCTCTCTTTCACTCTCTTGCACCAGCTGTGAAGTGAGTCTCTTACGCTCTCTGCTATCACAGCTTTCTTGTGCCGGGATCCCATCTGTTGAAAACATATAATTTTGATAAACGATGTTTAGTCATAGACCAGGATAGGCTTAAGATTATGGAACTTGTAGAATCTGAAAGGTTTAGACGAACCTGAGTGACGATTACATTGAGAGGCACAGTGCCATAACTACACCAGAACTGAACAAGAACCCTGCATTCACCAGAAGATAAAAACCCTTAGAGACAGTGGGTTGCTGCAAATTGTTGCGTATTTGAAACGCACCCAGAAATTAGTCGGCTTGATATCATCACATGGTTCTTCATGAAGCAAGATCTTTCCTTGATTCCCCACTGATACATGAAATTGATGATCTTTTCAGAAACTAAAAAAATTTGCAGAGCTGATTTAAGTATTGATGCATTTTATAAGGTGGTCTTACCAAGAACCAGATGAATGTTGCCATTTCAAATGCATTCTGCATAAGGATCATCTATGTTAATAAAGTAAAATCATGGCTTGTAAGATTGTGAAAGGGAAAGTCCTTTAGCTTACCTGAAAGATGATAAATTGTATCAACCGTAGCAGAATTTCTGGTTTCCCAAACCAGAAGAGTCCATCACGTGGTTTGACTTGAGCACCATTAGTTGTGCCTGTCTGCTGCTCCTTTACCTCCAGAGCAAGCTTCGAGACAACGTGCTCAAGTTTGGTTCCAACCAACATGACAAGCTTAAACAACAAAACAGATACAAACATATGCTCTGAGTGTTAGTGCTTATGAATTTCAAGCTTCTTTCACTTACTCTTGCTTTGTTTACTTACAATGGCAGGGATGAATGATATCCAAAAGTACATATTCAGGCCTGCAATGTAATCACTGAATTAGTAAAAACAAAGCTTAAATGTGGAGATAGAAATGGAATGTAGTTCATATTTATGTAACCGATAAGTTACCATGAACATTTATGCAGATGCATACTATAGCGTAAACCCAAAGTGGCCAGCTGTTAATTCATCAAGAAACATTCATCAGTCCCATTCTGCAACTCCCTTACGGAATCTTCTGAAAACAGTTGAATAAAGAGTCTTTGATAAAATCTCAATTCTCAGAAACGCATACCTAATTCCAACAATGCCATGAAACTCATCTTCCATTGTCCGTACCATATACATATGGAAGTTATATGTAAATGGCAAATTATGTTTCTGAAATTTCAAAGTAATGAAGAACGGATTCAGTAAACTAATATTGCCAGCTACCAGAGTAGATGATGAGAAGTCTGAGAATGAAAATATCAACCTTCACTCCAAAGAAGTATTACACAGAAAGTTATATTTTATATTTGAAAGGAAAGACTGAGAAACGAGACAAAGAAAAGGTACTCACAGTGAGGAAACCTAACCGAAGAGCGAAGTAGTCAGACTTTCGTATGGAGCCTCTAAACTGCCGCAGGAAACAAAGCTGTAATAGCAAACATACTACTGTTATAGCTTGAGACACATGTAAGTGTCTTTGTTCTTTTTTCTAAAATGTTTTGGATTGTCTGCAGTTCAAATACTTATGAAAAACCATCTGTATCAAGAATGTTCTTTAACTGGAGATATGCAAATTTTGGAAAGTATACAGTTAAAGCATGGAGAGTTACCATCCAGATGAGAAAACGATTGTTACTCCAAGGATGCGAGGCATGATGGAAAACAAATGTAGACTGACGCTTCATCACCTTGGTCTTCTTTGCTATCGAACAAATTCAAGAAGAAGAGTATATATATTACTGTGAAAATTAAAGCATCCTAGGCAAATCTTTGACAATGAATCAGCTGTTTCTGTCAAAAACGGAATTTACAGGGAACCACTGTACATCTCTTGTTCACCCAGTTCATTTCAATCCTGTATAAGTGACTATACTAGGCTAGAAAGGAAATTTTCACTTATATCAGTTCACCGGATTTGATCCGCTAGTCAAGGAGAAGAGATATTTGCAAATGATGCATAATAGCATCTCCACAGCTCAATTGAGTTCATGAGTGAACAACCATAAATACTGAACATTTGTAGTTTCATGCTGCTCCTAATCCTAATATAATACAGTTCCTCATGTTCCCTGAAGATGAGACCCATCAAAGAAACATACAAGCTTTTATTTGACGGAGAAGCAGGAATGGAATGTCATTTACCATGGATATCAGATTCAGCCATTATGATCGCTTGGGCTTCCCATTTTCTCCAACTGTAAATCTGTGTTACGTGATAAAAAGTCAATACTGTGATTGTACCGCATTCTGTTCATGAAATTGTAACAATATAAGCAGATTCAGGAGCTAGAATGTGTACCTTGCTCATGGCTAAACCAATGGCAATGCCACTGTACAGAACATGAGTGATACCCAGGACAAATAAGAATCTTAGGAGTTGCTCGAGTCCCTCATACGACACAAATGGTTCACGGCCCTGACATTGGATCCAAGAACTAGTTCAGCAATTACGAAAGGTAAAATGGAAAAGAGGCTTTTAAGTCGATATATAACTAGAGATTTACATGACCACATTGATGAGCGGCTTCATGTATTCCATGATGAGGTAAGGAACTCTGGTTTGTAGAAGAGGTGTGTTCCAGAAGAACTTTCTTATGGATTCCATAGTCCTCTTCAGAACAAATGTAGAATTTACTATTGAAAAGGGAAGAGTTGACACAGATTTCTGAAATCCATCTTGCGCTTTGTGACAAGAGCAGTGATATAAGTCCCAGCAACATCAACTCTACCAAGAAAGTTAAACAAGTCAAAATCAAAGGAAAAAGAAAGAAAGCTTAAAGCACCACAACATCACCACTGACATACCCTCTTTCATTTTCTCAAGTGAAGTAAAAAGTGCCTTTCTTCTAGTCTTCTTTAACCACTGAAACACAACCGAATATAAAATTAGCTTCTCATCTTTAGCAAGCATAAACACATATTTCCAAGAAGAAACATCTCGTCCATCAAAATTCTCACTTTCTAGAACCCATTATCAGAGAAAACATTTTCAGCTCACGAATCATGGAGAGCAAGAGCTGAAAACCAAGTGGCAAGTGCAGAAAGAAAAATCATAAGAACATTCTCACACTCATTTTTTGAGCTGGGCATTTCAACAAACACATAGTAGGCAGTAGGCACACACAAAGAAAATTACAAAACAAAACTTAACCTTTCCAAATCTGTAAATGGCGCGTTCAACGAGAAAGCAAACGAAGACCAAAACAGTAACAACAGAAGCAACAGAGTAAGTCGGCGTCTCTGCAAGAGACCTCCCTTCTTTCATCATATGCTCCATCTCCGGCGAGGAGATTTTCCGGGAAACTCGCAAGAACAAACTTTTCTCCCGAGAAAAATGGAGAATCAATCTGCATCTGTGATTAATAAAGTTAAGCTTTTTCCTTCATTAATTTTATAAAATAAAATATAGTCAAAGAGAAGAGAAAAGCTCATGGAATGCTGTACCAAGTAGAAACCAAAGCACATGGTTGCTTCCTCGTCTTCTCCAACGGTCTTCTCTTTCTTTATTCATTCATTGCTTTCATTTATTGCGTCTCTCATGTGCTTCCCCCTAAATGTCGTTAAAGAACCTAAATTAATAATGCAATTTAATAGCCGGACTTTACCGGCCGGTTCACCCATTAGTCGATAATAACAAAGCCGGGTTGATGATGATATCTGAATCGGTTTACGTATCATTGAAATTAGGAGAGATTCAATCAATCACTGCCCGAAATAAATGAACAATAATCAGATATCAACACAAATTTAGGCCATTTCATACAATTTCTCCAAACCGAATTTATAGCAGCAATCTACTAATCACAATCTAGCAGCAACAACTCAACCGATTTACTAATAAATGGCGGTTAATGCTCGATGTTTTCGTGTACATCAAGAAAGCTTTAACTAGGATTTGGCAATTTGTGTTGTGGTCACTCTTTTGCTAGGAAACTATATGTATATAAATAATTAACACGTGAAGAGATTCTCAATGTTGGGGTGGTGGCGCAGTTGGCTAGCGCGTAGGTCTCATAGCTACTGAGTGATCCTGAGGTCGAGAGTTCGAGCCTCTCTCACCCCATTTCCTTTTTCCCATTTTTTTCATTTCTCACAAAATAAAGAAGCTTTCTTTTCTCTCTCGCATTGACCTTCTTCTCCAGTTTTTTTTTTTTTGCCTCTCTCCACTTCTGTAATCTTCTCACATCCCCGCACGATTATTCTCCAGCCGATCAACGAACACAGAGACGCTAATGTGTTTGACTCGATTCGAATCCTTCTTCCTCTGATCCCACCGATTAATTTCCACCCATAGATTTTTTTCTTCTTCTGAAATTTAGGGTTAGCGAAGTTTTGATCAATGATGCAAGGTGAAGTACAATTGCAGCCACCGGATTCACAGAAACTAAGTGATTACGCTCCTTTGTTAGGAGACCACACCAATTCTTCATCTTCATCTTCTTCGGCGTCTCCTTCTGCGTCTGTGGTGGCAGCAAATAGCGATGAGATAAAGGCTGAAGATTTAGAGAACGATGCTTCTTCAGCTCCTTGTTGTCGTATTTGTTTGGAGGACGATAGTGAATTGTTAGGTGATGAATTGATATCACCTTGTATGTGTAAAGGCACTCAACAATTCGTGCATCGGTCATGTCTCGATCATTGGCGATCGGTCAAAGAAGGTTTTGCTTTCTCTCACTGCACTACTTGCAAAGCACAGTTTCATCTGAGAGTCGAACCTTTTGAGGATAACAATTCTTGGCGTCGAAAAGCTAAATTCAGACTCTTTGTCGCAAGAGATGTGCTTTTGGTTTTCTTAGCTGTGCAGACTGTGAGTATCTCTCTAAGCTTTCACAGCTTCTCTTTATATAGTTTTCATGAGGATGATAAAGCATTAATTAAGAGATTATGAGGGTAAATTTTGTATCTTGTCATTATCTGGGTCACAAAGTGAATCTAGATTCGAATCTTGACCTGGTCACTGCGTAATTTCACATGGTAGGTGCTTGAAAATTGACAGTGGAAGTTGATGACTGTCAAATTGTTCATTTTGCTCACTGTGACTTGCCATTGTTGAAGCCTGTTTTCCATAGATATTGTCTGAGGGACACTGAATCTTTTTGACGTCTGATAATAAGAAGATTGTTGATATTATAGGTTATTGCTGTGATGGCCGGATTGGCGTATTTGATGGACAAAGACGGAGAGTTTCGCAACTCGTTCAACGATGATTGGGATCGTATATTGTCAAAACATCCCATCCCGTTTTATTACTGCATAGGTATTTACTGAATCTTTCATCTCCCTTTCATATACCTCTGGAATACCACGGATCTAGAAGCCTTACACGCGTTTAAACATTTGGTTTATCATGAATGAATCTTAGGGGTTATATCCTTCTTTGTGCTGACTGGATTTCTTGGCATCATTCTACATTGCTCTGCTCTCAACGGTAATGACCCGAGGATGGCTGGATGCCAGAACTGCTGTTATGGATGGGGTGTCTTGGATTGTTTCCCTGCTTCAATGGAAGCATGTTTCGCTCTTGTTGTTGTCTTTGTCGTCATCTTCGCCATTCTTGGTCTAGCTTATGGGTTTCTTGCTGCCACTATGGCTATCCAAAGGATATGGCAGAGACATTATCATATTCTCACCAAGCGAGAGCTCACAAAGGAGTACATCGTGGAGGATCTTCATGGAAGTTACACTCCCCCGAAGCTGGATGCAGAGCACGAAGGAAGACTGAAAATGCTGAAACTTCTGTGACCGTGTTTTCTTAACTGTCAAATAAAGGTTCTATGGAGTTTTGGGCACATTAGAGAGACAAGTTCATTACATACATCTTTGTTCACAGAGATGTCTTTCTTTTCTTTATCATGGATGAAAAGTACCTAATGGATATGTTGTCTTATATATACTTATGATATGAGGTGAAGCAATGCTGCTGGTGTTTCAGTGAATACTAAAGATATTCAAATCTGTAAACAGAGTCTATCAACTGTTGTTTCAGTTATCTATCACACAGAGAAAAGGGGTATTAGTGTGTTTCTTTAGTTACAGTTTCTGAAAGCAATGAGATGATAATGGAGAGCCTCTTGTAAGTGGTAATAAGTGAAAGATTAAGTCGTGAATTTCCTGGAAAACTCAAAACAAAAAAACTAAAATACAAAAATACCAAAAAGCGACCACAGTGGGAGTCGAACCCACGACCTTCTGATCCGAAGTCAGACGCGCTAATCCACTGCGCTATGCGGTCATTTAATATTCCTTTGCATAGTATAATATACATAGTGGCTACATATTTGCTGTGAATGTAAAACCTTGTTGAAGTCAGAGACTTGTATTGATTATGCCTTAGCCTTCACCACAACAATCAATTATGCCTTAGCCTTCACCACAACAATCAATTATGCCTTAGCCTTCACCACAACAATGACAATTCAGAAGAAGACAATTGTATGATTCACAGCAAGAATCATATAAAAACAGCTCAATCTAAAAAACAAAATGTTATAAAGATAATATATAACAACAAGCCTAAGTGTCAACGAATTACAGATTATTATTTACAATGACAAATAAGTGAAAGGCATGAAGAAACCCATATGTATACTATAAACCTTTATGCCCAAGAACAATCTTTCAAAACCTCATAGGCCATTGATCGTTGTTCTTCACTCAACTTTTCCGGGAAATTCACTAGAAACGTTATTTTCAAATCCCCTCGCTTACCTTCTTCTTTAGCATTTGGCATACCTTGACCTTTTATCGCCTTCTCAAATCCGTGGAAGATCACATCTCCTACGGTTATCGACATTGACTCGCCGCTCAATAGTGGCACCGAGAGTTTACATCCTGTTAAAGCCTTTACAAGAGGAATCTCGACCGCAATCTCTAAGTCATCTCCGCGTCTTTTAAACAAAGGGTGTCTCTTTTCTTCAACCACGAATGTGATATCTTCAGGTAGATATCCCGGTTTTTCGTTCCCTACTCCTTCGAATGTGATCTTTGTCCCTTTTTTCCATCCCGGTTTAATGTTCACTCTTAACATTTCTTCTTGTTGCTTAATCAATCTGCTCAAAACAGAACATAACGAATTATTCATTGAGTAGGATAAGAGAACATGCAGATAAAATGAGATAAGGAGCCAAGAAACAAACCCTTCATCGGTAATGATGTCTCTTTTGATCTTGATGTTCTTCACTCCACCATGGCAGAGTTCTTCCAACGTACACTCAAGCTTTTTCTCCACAGCTGGCGGCTTTTTCGGCGGTGTAGACTGCGAAAACACTATCGGCGTTGTGCTCCTCCGGCTTATACTCTTCGCAATTGATCCAGCCGGATCCCTAGTGCTCTTACTCTTAGAAAACGGCAGAGACGTCGACGTCGCCGAGCTCGCAGAGCATCTCTCATCTTTATCTCTCTTGCTAGCGCTCTTAGAAATCGACGAAGGAGAAGACTGTTTCACGCCGTTAATCGGACTATTGCTTGGAGGAGACGAAAGTTTCTGTACAGAGCCAAATAAATCACCTAAGGTTTGATCTTTCCCTCTCGGACTCGTGAAAGGCGACGTCATTGGACTTGCGTTGTTCGATACCGGACGTGATTTCAAACCGTGGCTTCTCACTCCGCCGTGGCTGCTGCCTTCGTCTCTACGGCTTGCGCTTCTTGAGAAAGCAGAACGGCGATTAGAAGAAGCGGAGGAAGAGAGGTACGTAGGTCTAGCTTGTGGCGTGTGGCTGCGGCGGCTACTGGAGTTTGATAACAGAGAAGATCGACGTTTGAAGACGGTGCTATCGTCCATGCTCTGTAGCCGGAGACCTCTCCGAGCAGCAATGAGATCATCCTCCTCCGCAAATTTCTCCTCCAGATATCTCCGGTGAATTGCCTGTAAATTTTTATAAACAAATGATTTAATTCATTCTGTTCTCACGATCTCTGGATGATTGAAAACTGAAACCCAAATTTGGGATTTTTATTTTACGAAACAGAGTTTCGAACAGAGGTTTTTTCATAAACAATCATCCAAGAGGAAAAAAAAAGTTTCCTTAACGAGAAAAATCACATATTTCACCGTTTGATCAATGTAGCGAACAATTTTCACCATTCAATAAAAAAAAGAAGCATTACTCATATATGAAAACGAAAATAAAAATGATGATGAGAGAATCGCGTTCTTAGAGAAAGATGAGAACGTACGGAATCGGCGTCGGAATGGGATTCGGATTTGCGATGAGAAGAAAGAGGGTGCAATTTGGTGACGAGGGACTTGTAGGCTTTGCATGCTGTCTTGGAAAGTCCGAAGAAATCTGTCGCCGGCGAACGAGGAGTCCCCATTGCATCAAGAACGAGAAGATAATGATCGGGAAATTGGCGGAAAGAGAAAACAGAGAAAAGATGAGGAAACTTGTCGTGTGTCTAGGAATTAGATTATCAGACAGACGAAGAGCCGAGTTGTTTGGGATCTTTTATTAGGAAAATTCTGTTTCTTTTAAAAATAAAAAATAATTTTTATAGGTTTTTCAAATACTAAATTTTTACTAAGACTGCATGAACATGCACCATCCCGGTTTGAGAGAGGATGTCCAAATTCAAAACCAAAGTATATATTGAACTCACCACCTATATTTTCCGATTGAAAGCATTTGTGTATTACTTTTGTTTGGGGGAAAAGATTGGAAGCATTTGTTTAACCACTAATACTATATCAATAATCAAAAGATTGTGGATACATTCAAAAGATACATTTAGCAAGTGGTACAACTTGTAGTGTTACAATCTTTGGTATGTTGCATATATATTAATTTTATCCGCAATAGTGGATCCCCATTCCCATTAGCGCAATAATAGCCATCCACGTAAGAGGTCTGTCTAATTTGATATTTTAGTCGACTGTTTTAAATGATATCTCTAGGTTGCACCCAAAAAAATGATCTCTCTGGTTGACCTTTTTTGACATTTCTCTTTTGTCCATCGTTTTATTTTTTTATTTAATTTTGGTTAACAGTAGACGCAAACCTGAATGTAAAAGAATTCAATTTTTGTTTAGCAGTAGATACAAATCTATATTTAAAAATAATTCAAATTTTTATTTATCTTAGTATTATTTTTGATTTTCAACTTTCCCACATTAACATTAACATGAAACGTGGACACTAAAGAATATTGTTTCATCTTCAGTGTTGGCAGTTGCAGGTGGGGACAAGCTCTGAGTTTCCATGTTCCTTCCAAAGTCAACAGATCAAAGCAGCCTCTTTGACCAAAAGAATCCAACTTTTTGTTCCCATCTTCCTCAACTTTCATGGCCGCCAAAATCAATCACTCACTTTCCACCACCAAAAACCTCAAATTCTCCAAACCCATATCTCCGATTTCACCAAAATCCAACACAAACATGCCGAAACCGATTCTCTTTCTTCTACTTTCACTCCTCTTCTCCTTGTATCTCTCAACCTGCGTTGCCCAATCACCATCACTAACTTGTCCTTTAGATTTCTCTCATGTCCTAACAATCCCATGGAACACAACTGATTGTCAAAGGTACGACAAATCAGCCGATAGCAAGAACAGTTGTTGTCAATCTGTCTTAACTCTAATCGGAATCCCTCTAGCTCATCGTCTCAAACAAACTTCCAATTTCCGTCTCCCAAATCTCGCTACTTCAATCTCTTGTCTCAACAACCTCCAAGCAAAGCTCAATTCACTTTCTCTATCGTCGAATCTCACTTCCCTCTGCTTCGATCCGAATCAGTTCGTTATCAATAACGAAACTTGTGCTGGAATCCAAACAACGCAAGATTGGGTCTCTCGTCTTGGTCCCTCGACGGCGCTTGATTCCGCTTGTAGCAGTGGTCTCACAGATCTCACGCGTTGCGACGCTTGCGTGGCGGCTGGGTTTAGGGTTCAGAAACAGTTGATCACTTTGGACGGTAATAGCTCTCATGGTGTTTATTGTTACCATTTCGCTGTTCTTTACGCTGCTGGTATTGTTAACAAGAAAGGACCTGAGAGTGATGATGCTTTGTCTTGTCTCTTCTCTTTGAGCTTGAGATCTCCATTGAGCTCAAAGAAGAAAAGACACACGGTGGCTCTTGTTTTAGGGATAACCGGAGCTATTTTCGCGGCTCTGGTTATTGCCGGTTTGATTTGTTTGTATATCCGGTTTGGTAAAGCTGTTAAAGGAGGAGAGGTTGGTTGGGAGGATCAAGAGTCTAGACCAAAATGGAGACCAAACACTGGCTCAATCTGGTTCAAAATCGAGGAGCTAGAGAAGGCTACGAATAATTTCTCGCAGAAGAATTTCATAGGTCGAGGCGGGTTTGGTTTTGTTTACAAAGGGGTTTTACCAGATGGATCGGTTATCGCGGTTAAGAAGGTGATAGAGTCTGAGTTTCAAGGGGATGCAGAGTTCCGTAATGAGGTTGAGATCATTAGCAATTTGAAACATAGGAATCTTGTTCCGCTTAGAGGTTGTAGTATGGTGGATGATGATAGTGAGAGTCAGAGATATCTTGTTTATGATTACATGTCGAATGGAAATCTCGATGATCACCTGTTTCCTCGGGGTGAGACTTCGAAGATGCCATTGAGCTGGCCTCAGAGAAAGAGCATGATTTTGGATGTGGCCAAAGGGTTGGCTTATCTGCATTACGGTGTGAAACCCGCGATTTACCACCGGGATATCAAAGGTACGAACATATTGTTAGATGTCGATATGAGAGCGAGAGTTGCGGATTTTGGTTTAGCTAAACAGAGTAGAGAAGGAGAGTCTCATCTCACTACCAGAGTTGCGGGAACACACGGTTATTTGGCTCCAGAGTATGCGCTCTATGGTCAATTAACCGAGAAAAGCGATGTGTATAGCTTCGGGGTTGTTATATTGGAGATAATGTGTGGAAGGAAAGCTCTTGATCTGTCTACTTCTGGATCAGCAAACACTTTTCTGATCACAGATTGGGCTTGGTCGTTGGTAAAAGCAGGGAAAACAGAGGAAGCTCTTGACCAGTCTTTGTTGAGAGAGGAAGGCTCAGGGATGTCGAATCCGAAAGGGATAATGGAGAGATTCTTGCAAGTTGGGATTTTGTGTGCTCATGTATTGGTTGCTCTAAGGCCAACAATATTAGATGCATTGAAAATGCTTGAAGGAGACATTGAGGTCCCTCCTATTCCAGATCGACCAGTCCCGCTTGCGCATCCTTCATACCGCATGGACGGAAACGGATTCACAATATCGCCTACGCTTAGCGGACTACAAATACATTCCGGAGATATGCTCCGATGAAAAACTAGGCTCATGTTTGGAGTTTAGATTTTATTTTGTAAATATTTGAAAGCAACGTCTTTTGATCACATCATGTAAACCTATTTCAAAATATTGTAGTATCTCATAAGAAAACATATAGTTCCTTTTAGAATTCTATTCTAAAATCAAATTAGAGGAGAAGGCTGAGATGTGGGGTTTCCGGTGACGAGGACGGTGGCTGGTGGAGCCCTGGCGGTACAAGTGCAAAAGTTATTAAGGCACTCACATTTGGTGCAGTCGTAGCACCACAATCCGCAGTGGTTCACAGTGAGGCACCGTCTTGACACTATTGGTCCTCTAGCCTCAGCCACCATGTAAAATTCTGCAACCATCATAATTTGTGTTTTTTTTCCTGTCCGTTGCAAAATTTATATGTATATCAGACTGTGAAAATGTGTGTGTGCTCTTTTTTATTTTTCATGCTAAAGTTAGTTAATTTAAAACAGTGTGGTGTGGTTACTGATTTACTGTGGTAACAACAAAATTTAATGATAATTGTATAAATAAACCATAATAAAACTAACGGCCAATCGCGTTTGCTGGTCTCTTCTTCAGCTACACAGATCTTACGAGCACTTTTATATATTTGTTCCGGAAATACCCTTGTTTCGATTTCCTCACCTAAAAATCTTTTCCCCAAAAATTGCAAATTCAACGACTCTTCTCGGCGATGATGGAACGAACCTACGGCCGCCGTAAGCCGGGGATTCCGAGGACCCTATCCGACTCTCTTAACGACTCCGTTTCTCAGACCGAATATCTCTCTTCCTCTTCGTCGCCGGACATCGAGCCCATTGATTACTCTCTCCTTCCTTTCTCCAGTCAAGAGTCTTCCTCTCTCTGGCATTCTTCTTCCAGGTCAGATTTTAGAGAGGATTATCCACAGAACGGAGGCGTTGTACGGAGGGCGAAAAGAGTCAGGCACGGTGCTGAGGCTGCTGCTTTTACTTCCACTTTGCTTGAGGCTCAGGAGTTTGGTGAGCTGATGGAGCATGAGGATGAGGTTAACTTTGCGCTTGATGGCTTGAGGAAAGGACAACAGCTCAGGATCAGAAGAGCAAGCTTGTCCTCTCTATTGTCGATTTGCGCATCTCAACACCAGCGTCGCTCCTTGAGGGCTCAAGGGTAAGAAGCTTTACCCTTTTTTCTTAGATTTTTCGATTTCCCCCTTCTTGTTTGGGTTTAATTTTGTTCAATTCATGAGAAATTTTCCTAATTGGTTTGTGGGTTTTGTGAAAAAGATTTGTTTGAGTTCTGGGTTTTCGTTTTTTTTCCGGTCTTCTGGATTAGGGCACGATTTTATACAAATTCCCCGATGCCGACAAAATCATTGGTTTCGTTTTCTATTCTCTGTATTCTGGGCTCTTGTAAATCAGATTTGTAATGGATTTGGTATTTGTGATATTCTGAAGAGGATTAAGGCATGAAAGTTTAGAGAACGTTGAGTATTTCTGGTTTGTAGTGGATTGGAATGGTGTATTACTGAATAGGGTTTGTATCATGATGCATGTGAAGTAAGGTTTTAGGAATATGTCTAATTCTCTCCCAAGGACTGGAGATTTTGTGTTTGTCCCATTAATTGATTCTCCTAGATGGATGCTGAGTATCATGAACTCTCAGGAAAAGTTACCTAATTTTGTGGGAACTTATTGTTTCAGGATTTCCCAATCCATAATTGATGCGATTTTGGCTCTTAGCCTTGATGACATACCAAGCAATCTTGCCGCAGCCACCCTTTTCTTTGTGCTAACTGCTGATGTAAGTGACTTGCAGATGCTGTTATATATGTTTTTGATGTTTAATCTTTAATTCGTTGACATTTTTTTGTTTCTTATTCCCCATTTTACATTTTCCGTATATAACTTTACCAATACATTTTCATGACTCCAGGGTCAAGACGAGCACTTTATGGAGTCACCCAAGTGCATCAAGTTTCTGATAAAGCTGTTGAAACCTGTGATTGTCACTAGCACCGAAGGGAAGCCACGCAATATAGGATTTAAGCTCTTATCATTACTTAAGGATGTTGATGCAGCACGGGATCCAGTGAAAATTAATGATCCAAGCTCCAGTGATATACTTTCAAGAGTTCAGGAACTTCTTGTTAATTGCAAAGAAATGAAATTGAATGATAGCTATAAAACTGAAACAACGAGGCCTGAGCTAAGTACGAAATGGGTAGCTTTGTTGGCCATGGAGAGGGCGTGCTTATCCAAAATTTCTTTTGATGGTATTTGAACTTCTTGCCTCTTCTGTTGGAAGTAATGACTAGCTGACTATTTTGGAGATCATCTCAGAATCAATTAGATTTTGGTTATAGATGATGAAAAGTTTCTGTTCTCTCCAGTATTTATTTTGCTTCTCTAGGTTCATTTAAGCATAGAATAAGGTGATAATATTAGGTTCTATGATCTTTTGTTTTGCTTCTCTAGGTTATAATATGGGCATAGAATAAGCCGATAATATTATGATCTTTGATTATTGTCAATAATTTATGTCATTTCCTCCCATCCAGATACTTCTGGTTCTGTGAAGAAGACTGGAGGGAATTTCAAGGAGAAACTGCGAGAACTAGGAGGACTTGATGCAGTCCTTGAGGTTGTTATGGATTGTCACGCTGTTATGGAGGTGTGAACCTGTATGTTTTTTTTTTTTTTCATTTGCACTAATATCTTGTAGTCTATGATTGCCTAGGACGTTAATAACTTGTAGAAAGCATCTTAGATTGCTACTTTTGTGATTGTTTAGGTATTTTCAGGGTCTATTCTTTTTTTCAATCCATTTTACTGCTGAAACGTGGGTTAAATGAAGGTGCTTTGTATATTGAAAGAGAGATTACTTGTTGACCGTCTTTGCAGTGGTGGATGACTTTGTTAAAACTCAGAATAAGCTCTTTTGACAAAAAATAACAATGTGAAGGCACTTCTATTGATAAACTATATAGATTATTGCCAGAATACCGTCCCATGTGTACTCTTCTTTGTGCATTTAATTGTCTTAATTGCTGGCGGTGTGCAATTGCACTATGTTATATTTTTTGAGAGAATCTAATACAGATTCTATATATGCAGCGTTGGGTGGAATACGACGCACTTTCCGTCCAGGAAAAGAAAGATAATCTGCATAAACAGAGTTTAATGTTGCTTCTGAAGTGTCTGAAACTCATGGAGAATGCTACATTCCTCAGCACAGAAAACCAGGTATCTTTTATTTATATTGGTTTCTAGATTCATGACCATATTCTGGAGATTCAGACGTTAATCAGCTGTGTTATCAAGTTGCAGTATATATAACTCAGTGCCGGATATAATATAACTGTAACACTAATTTTGTTTTTCAGAATCATTTGCTCGGATTTAAGAAATGTTTGGGTTCTCATGATTCCCGAATGTCTTTCACAGAGCTCACGATAAGTGTCATCAAGATGCTTTCAGGTTCGCAATTGATACCATGTCTTGTTCTGAATTGTTACACATGATGACTTCCGCTCGTTGTATCATCTCTTATCCTGATTACTGGTTGGATTGATGGCTAGGTCTTTACCTACGTGGAGGTTTTCCAAGTCCTAACACGAACAATGTGAAATCTCACTATTCAAATGGTGGTAATCGTGATTCTATTTTGGAAGCGGATCGGAAAGGTAATTTATTCTTCTAGCCACAAATGAGTCCGTCTCCTCTCACTCTCTCTCTGTATTCCCCCTTTGGTCTCCGTCTCCTCTCTCTCTCTGTATTCCCCCTTTGGTCTCTGTATGTTTCTATGCTAAGCCACTTCTATCTTTTGCAGTTACCAATGAGGTTGTGACAATCAGTTCAGATACATGCTCGACCGTTGGCTCTATCTCCACGAGGAATGGGAGTGTATCCCAAAGAAGTCAATCAATAATCCATTTAGATTTCTCGCCAACATCAATGTCGGGTTCTCAATCAAGTGTGTCGGGGAATGAGCCTACTACGTCAAAAACAAGAGTCGGTTCCACCATCTCTGGTTCATTTGCAGGGAGATTAGCGTCATTGGGTAATGGCATTGCCAGAAGTACTTCAAGGACTAGTCAAGCTGGAGAACCAATCTGTAAAAGAATTGGAGAGTTTGCATCCCCCGATGAAAGCGAAGATCCTTTTGCGTTTGATTTGGAAGATGCTAAACCTTCCAAGTGGGCAGTAGTGTCTGTAAACCAAAAGAAGTCTAGAGCTCAAAAGAAGAAAGGATGCTACAAACAAAGTAAAGATGAAAGTTTGTATCAGCTGTTCTCAAGCCAAGAAGAATCGTCAAACCATAGGTTGAATTCCCAAGAAGAATCAAGTAACAGAGATTGCAGTACATCGCTGCAACCATCTTCTTGTACAAATGACATAGATGAAGAATGTCTCTGTCTTTTATCTGATTGCCTTCTAACAGCCGTAAAGGTAATTTTCTTACAGTCTTTTAACACCTGTTTACTGGTCTGCGGTGAAATTCTCTTAGCTGGAGTAGCACAAATTTAGTTCATGATTATATATCTGCAGGTTTTGATGAACTTAACAAATGACAACGCTGTCGGATGTCGACAAGTTGGTGGGTGTAGAGGGCTGGAAAGCATGGCTGAATTAATTGCCAGACACTTTCCATCTTTCACCAAATCTCCGCTTTTCAGTGAGATGGAAAAGACAGGATCGTCCCATCAGAAGAAAGACAAACATCTTACAGATCAGGAGTTAGATTTTCTTGTTGCCATCTTGGGCTTGCTGGTAAATTTGGTTGAGAAAGACGGAGTGAACAGGTTGGTAAAAACAAAATCTCAGCTTTTACTGATAACCTTTTTGAGTTTGCTGTACTGCAGTCAAAAATTAACACCATCATGTGGTTGAGTCAATACAAGTTAAACTAGTCACACTCTTTTGTCCTTAACCCTTAGTCACAGCGGGAGTGGTAATTCTTTTCTAATCAGTTAACTGATATTTTTGTAGATCACGGCTTGCTTCAGCGAGTGTTCCTATTACAAAACCAGAAGGGTTGCAAGAGAGTGAACAGGAAATGATTCCTTTACTATGTTCAATCTTTCTCACCAATCAAGGATCAGCAGAGACCAAAGAAGACACAACTACTTTCACCTTAGTGAGTAGCAGC